ATAATGCTAAGTTCTCCTATTCTAGTAGTGCTTGAAACCTAAAAAAGTTAAAGTGAACAGTCTACAATCAGTTCAAAAACATCCATGAAACCATTTATCTTACAAATTTAAAATTACTTTAGTAAAAAAGAAAGTTACTAAAACTAGTAAAGCTATAAGAATGTATCACCATATCCACTTGAATGGAAACAGATTTAAAGCTGCTAACCCTCACCTAAGACACATTAAAAAAAAAAAAAAATCAATGAATTAAAGATTATTCAAAGGCACATAACACCAGCAACTACTGCAAGTTGTATCTGTCACTGTACTTCCCCTATTACAGCAAACCCGGGTATAAATACTGTAAACACATTCTAGTACTGAACCCCATATATCTGTATGTTTTTCTTCAGTACATAGAAAAACAAGTTTCTGAAAGCATGGGGATTATTAAAAACAATCACCAATACTAATGAAATTATTATAATTAGAAAAATCTGCAAGGTTAATATTTTCCTTTCCTCCCCACAAAGAATAAATTAGGTAGAGCAAAACCAATCCCATCTAAATTACTGCTGTCCACTGGGAGACAAAATTAATACTGAGAGATATAAAATTTTACTATAATTCAACCTTAGGGATTTTTTTTAATTACTTAAGTAATGAAAAAACGTAAAATTACAATTAACAAAGTGTTGAAATATTCTAACATGCATTTTGAAGTTCTCACATCTAAACCACTTGTCATTAATATCCCCATTTCATATTTGTGGTTTTCAGCAAGTTGTAGCTCAATAAAATACTGAAGAACCACACAGAATTATAAAATAGAGTACCAGGTCAATAACTTGCACTCAATAAAGAAGTGTCTACACAAACAAAAAAAAACTATGAAAACCATTCAAACCCAAGAAGTACTTCCTTAAAGAGATTCACTGATAAAAACACAAGAGTATCAAGACTCTAGAATCTTGAATTTAACAAGTAACAATTAATTTCTCTATCGAATTCTGATGTACACATTCAAAACCTCAGTGATATCATAGATTAGCAAATATTCACTCAACTGCTGTCAGAACTACACATCTCACCTAATTAACAATCAAAAAGACAGAGAAAGGTAGAAGTATTATGCATGTATACTGCATTAAAACATCTCTAAAGGATAATACATATGCATGAGGAAACATGGGGGAGCGTAGCAGTAAACTGGTCCCTGTATGGAAACTTGTTCTAGGAAGTAAATTTAATGTGTCAACAAAATTGAATCAGTCCAAAGTTTTGCCACATGCATGGCATGCTAAGCAAATACCAAACTGACATTAAGGACTTAACAGCAGTGTTTGGATGAGTCATCAACAACAAATATTTTGAATTTTCAAAGCCATCAGATTGTACATTTACTTGAAATTTAATTAAGAAAATACTCAGGTCTAACTGAAAAAAAAAAAAAAAAACCCAAAGCAAAACAAACAAAAGAAAAACAAAACAGAACAAAAAAAAACCACCAAAAAACAAAACCAACCAACAAACCCAAACAATAGCTGATAATCTTTTAAGAATAAAGTGAAGCTTCACTGCTCTCCAAAACATCTTTTTCTAGCAAAGCACAAAATAAACATTATTAGCTTACCATAACTGCAGCCAATTTTTTAAGTAATGGGGTAATCCACTTGGATTGTTGTAAGGAAGTGGCACAAAGACTGTGACGTGAAACAGATGGATTTTATTTTTAACAAATTAGGCTCACTACCAGGAAATTAACAAGTGATTTCTAAGTTTCCTAACACTATGGGTTAACTTTCATTTATGACCCCTTCTTTCTGCTTGTTAACCTTTTTAAGATGCTATTAAAACCAGACCTTGAAGGAAAACCAGCATTTATTATTTGCAGTTACAAACCATCATCTCAATTTTTTATACTAATGCCAGAGTATACAAAACAAATAACTTAACAGTATGTTTGATTACTTAATCTCCAAACTATGTGGTATCTTCACCTCTAATTCTTGGCAGAAAACAGAAATAGAAGTGAGGTTCAAGAGGTACTATACCTTTGTATTATGAACATAGCAAAGGCAATCCTCGCCAAGCTCTATGCAAAAGCAACTGCCTAGTGTGCCTTGCAGCATTTCTTCTATGAATTAACATAGCTTTAGGAGAAAAGGTCTCAAAATTTAAGTTTTACCTCAGAAGAATTTTTCTACCACTTCAGAATTTTTCTATGGAGAGTCAACTACACTGATCAGTAATTCCACATAAAATTAAAGTATGAGTATGGAACAATGATGCTATCTATCTTATATTTGGGCTCTGGCCTTGGTAAGGAAAATTATTACAACAGATGCTGGCTGATACCTATGCAGCTATCCACTAGAAGATTCAATCACCAACAGACTTGTTATCAACAAAATTCTTACTAATGCACGAGCCAGAAAGGGCACAGCCTGTCATTCAGCTTTGACTGAACTGTAGGAACTAGCAACAACAACAACAAAAAAAAAACAACAAAACAAACCCAACCAAACCACCCCCCCCCCCGCAAAACAAACAAATAAACAAAAAAAACCCACCCCCAAACAAAAAAACCCAAACCAATCACACCCCCCTCCCCAAAATAACACAAACTCAAAATTTTGCCTAGATTTGAAAATGGTAACCAATAACATTGGACCCCACATCACCAATTTGTTGCTTGTCAGTTTTCTGAGAATAGCACTTTAGTTCCAAGGAAACACAAATTCAGTGCTCCCCAGAATTAATATATCTTAGAAGCAATAGGTTATTTTGATATACAGCGTCTTTCACAACAGTCTGCCTGCTGAAGGCAATCATTCATTCATTCATTCCTCTTTCCTTTGGTGTTTTCTTGGCTTATTCAATTCATAGATGTTTTTAATTATGTATGAAGAAAAAAAAAAATAAATCTACCCCCCCCCGAAAAAAAATAAAGGAAAAATAAAAACAAAACAAGCCACACCCATGTGCTTAAAGCATGTTCAAAGCACAGGTTCTGCTCATTTAGAAAATGTTGAGTGAGCAAGCTCTCCTCCTATACAGTTGAACACGAATTTTGATTGAGTAAACTTCCCAGAAATGTCAGTAAAGTAGTCTCACAAGGCAAATTTTTAAAGCACCCAGTTTCTACACGTCTGTTTTCCCCTACAAAATCTACCATGCTGCACTAAGCACTTAAGCTGCAATCAGACATCTGGGAGCATATTGCTATCAATTGCTGGAAAGCTGATCTTGAGCTACAGAAAATACTGGGTAATGGGAAATACTGAAAACTGGCTGTGATTTAACTCTCTTTCCTCTTGGGATTAGATGACTGCTTATGGATGTCAAATAAATGCTCTCTACCACCTCCAATACACATCTCAAGTGTCATTGAATTACTATGCAGAAACACCTGAACAACTTGATGGGGACATGTCAGTGAAATATGCCATCATACTGGAAGCTCATTCTAGGTGAATTTTGCAGTTTAGATAGATGAAATCTAAAATGTATGTGTGTGCATGTTCCCACCCTTGTCCCCCCACATGTATTCCATGCCATGAACCCTTTGTTTTGGTGTTCACTGGGTCCTACTCTGATCTGCTTCGTCTTTCCTATTCTGTGGTGAAAGAACTCTCTGGAAGGACACCGTAACTCAAGTCTTGCATAGACCTACATTCTCACATTCTTTCTACACACTTGTGATTAAGAAAAAAAAAAAAACAACAAAACAAAACCAAACAAAATCCTTTGAAGAGACAGCACAGTTGGAGTAGGCACAGCTTCTCCAGTGAAGTGGCTTAACAGCTAAACAATTTATCAGTAGTGTTAAATCTGAATTCAGTACTCTTCCTTAGCCTGGAAACAATAAATTCCACCCTTCTTAGCTGCTAAAATGGTTGAAGCTCCTCACCAACTCAAAATTGTACCAATACAATAGAAAATATGAAGGAGTACTTTAACCAGATTACGTGATCCCGCAGGCTCACAAGTGCAGCAGCCTTTCACAAAAAGCCCTAAACCAAAACCAAGCAACCAAATAGCAAACAGCTGGTCAACCTGAGTTTAACTTACTTGAGTCAGTTAAGACACTTCTGAAAATTCTACCTGCACCACCAACGGAAAACTGTGACAGAAAAATTATGGTCAATTGTTTATACACAAAAGTACGCATATGATCAGATGGTAGATTTTATTTTGATGTCTGCATTAAAAAATAACACTATTTTAACAGTCTATGCACTTCATATTTGTTTCATGCTCCCTCCTCCCTTTAATGGAACAAAAGCTTTTCAAATGCCAAACAACTATGAAAGAATTAATGCAGATAAAAATTCTCTCTCAAGGCTTGTGGGTTAATGTGAGGATCCTTGCTTGGAACTATAATCAAAGAGGTATTCTGACATAGACAAATGCATTGTGTGGAATAGTATCATGATTTTTCTGAGCAACTGATTTATAAAAGGTTATGCCTGCTGCACATAAACAAAATATATATATTACAGCTGGCAAAGGATTTTGTTCAGTTGAACTGTTATTACCACAAATCTCCTTTTCATCAGTTACTGTCTGCACTGACATCTAGTACATCATTTGTAAAGACTCCCTGCTTCTATCTGGCACTAGTGTTTGCCAGACCTGCATTCAAGTATCTCTGAAGAGTGAGGGCCACCCAGAAAACAAATACTGTCCCAGGAAGGGTCTAATCAAAGGAATCTTTCAGGATTGTAATTAAATTGACACACACACACACACACAGAGATTAGCTACCTGCACCATAGTTATTGATGTACCTCTTTTTTCCATGTGCTTTTCCTAGTGCCTTTTCTGTTAATGCTGGTCTGGGTTGGTCTGCTTCTTCATTCAATATGCAGTTATTTTTGTCCATTACTTTACACAGGACTGAAAGAACTTACGGAAGTTTTAAGCTCTATTAGTTTTAAATATTGTATGTAACAGCATAGACCAACATGCCAAAATTTCACCAAATGTATCTTTTCATTAAAAATTACATCTCCTGGTGGAACAGGCTTTACTGTTTGACAAATGAAAGACAAAAATTTCATAAACTGCAAGTGAAACCTGAAAGAACATCTGGAGAGGACTATTCTATACTGCATCCCGAAATTTGCAGACCCAAAGCTTAAAGCAGGTCTGACTGGGGAAAAAAAATAATTCTTAATTTCAAAGAAATATATGGTACAAATATGATTAAATTCGTTCACACACATAAATAAAGTCCAATTCCATAACTTCTCTGACTGATGGTGCATTCTGGAAGCTAACAAGAAAAGACAAGGTATTTCATTATTTTCCTGATACGATTTTGAACTTCCTGATTGCAAAGAGTGTGGCCTTCCTAACAACCACTATGTTGCAAATTATAGCAGAATCATTATATAAATGTAGATTTTTTTCTCAAAGGTTACACAATGTGTTAGTATACTTGCATTCTTGGTTCCTGTGATACCAACTTTAAAGAAAGGCAAAAGAACACCTATGAAGTAAAAGCCAAGGTGACAGAACTGTGGCAGAAAACCAAGTCTTCCAAATTCACCACTACTGCTAAACAGTGATCGATCACTGGCAGAGTCAGACATTTGCAAAAACTTCAATATGAAAACATGGTCAGTGTAAAAATCAAGTACCCTAGTACATATTCTCTTTTTAAAATTTCTCTTTTTAAAATGGCATGGCACTTCACTATGTTTCAATATATCAAAGACAATTATTTCACCGAAAAGCATTATGATTCTACTTTTTGTGTCATTATGTGTGAAAGAAACATGACCACCACCTAAGATGGGCTGTCATTTTCATACAGATTTCATACTCACAACACGGCAATGGACAAAGATACAGATATATATGGATAGAACATTGATTTTAAATGCCTAGGAGACCAGACTATCCTGAATGGTTAACATTTTACATTCCAAATACAAAGTTAATGTATTAAGGCTATTACGATTCTAAATGTTATAAAACTGGTTTCAGTAGAATGGTCATGAAAATTGAGAAGAAAACTGATGTCTCTTCAGACAGGAAATAGAAAATTTGCACCCAGATGAGAAATTTCCTATCCAGTCAATGTATCTGTCGGTCAACCTTGTCTCTTACTAGTTACGTGTCTTTAAAGAGCACAGATATAGGTCACTGCCAAATTCTAGCAAAATGAGAAAGCAGCTCTTCACAGATGAGTCTCCCAGTTTGTGTAATCTGAATTATTTGTTCAAAGATACCTTTTCATTCATCTGTACTCTCATTTAGCAACGGAAATTCTAATTAAATTACAGAATGTAGGAAATGCATGCCCTCAGTGGTGCAATAGTTAGGTTTGTCTAGCACACAGTGGTAGAACTCGTTGATCTGAAAAAAACATGGTTAGAATAAAATGTACACATTCTCTCCTCATTTATTTCTCGAGTACACCACAAAAACTTGAAGATGCATAGCTTTGGTAACTGGCTGCTTAGCATGGCTCTTCACCAATGTTACACTGATTGAACAGTGGAAAGGACTGAAAGATTGTTCAGTACAAATATACAGACCCTGTAGGCTCACATAACATGGGACACTCAGGGAAATTAATTCTAATTAATATGTACAGTGGATTAGTTTAGTTAAAAATCAAAATACTCCTTTGTCAATATTCTCACAAGAAATTAATAAGTGAGTTTAACTTAGTTCAGGTTAATCCACTTCACTTGCATCCCTGCAAGTATTTAACATTGTTTTAAGTGATTCCCTGTAAAACTAACACTTTTGGTAATTTGATTAAATTTACCTGAATATCTAAGCATAGACAAGACATTAAAAAAGAAACGGTCCTTAACTACCACTTCTCTGTAAAATATGAAGGATGCAACTTATCTAACTTTGATTAATCACAGACATCCTCAGTTAATGAATAAAGGCTCTGATGTATTTAGTTGAAATGTAGCTCTTGTATGAATTCTGTTCAGCTGAGGGCGAAAGGTGAGGAAAGTCACCTCCTCTTCTAGAGAAATGACGAAATGAACTATGATGAAGCACATATTACTGTATCTGCCAAAGAACATACCCATGGGACATCAGAATAAACTTAAACTGCACAACTTTATGAAATGATCAATTTTTATATTTACACTATCATTAGTACAAAATTGCCTTTTAAGATTTCTGTAGCACAAGACAGTATTCTACTGGACTTGATACCCTAATATGTCAAAACAACTACTTTGAAGTATGATAAAGGAATCTAGGAAGAGTTATAAAGAATAAGACAGCATTTTCAAACTATACATAGTGTTTGCTTTTGCTTCTAAAAAGGTACTTATATCCCCAAAAGGTTTTAAATTTTAAATAAGCAGGGTGGGCGGGGAGAGGACGGGGGGAAGACTGGTTGTTGGTACTAAAGCCTTTACTGTAATAAACTAATGATATTTACAATTTATACAAATGTTTGACCTTCAACAAAAATACAAAAACAGATCACAAGATGCAAAACCAAGAAACAAGTTCATCTGAGACACCACTGCTCTACACAGGACAGAATGCAACTTGAACTGCACGGAACAGAAAAGTCTTTATCCCCCATAATCAGGCAATGAGAACAATTTGCATGAGGTTACAAAGAAAGAAAAAAAATAAAAGGCTCCAACAGTCTTCAGTAGACTCGGCTTTTAAAAACTATGGCAAAAACCTAGGCTACATCTGTCCATCTTGCCTCTGTGTTCCATTTGGTCCACGTAGCCAATATTTAGTTGCTGGATGTTGCCTTCTATTTTGAAAAATTGGAGCAGGTTCATGGCAAAGTCTGGAACCTCAATACTTTTGTTCCTTTTTAAAAGGCAAAACTTTTCTACTTCTACAATTAAGAACAATTTTGGCCCAGTTCAACTTTTAAAAGTTATATCCCCATCATATTTTTCAGTAGATAACTTCATAGACTGTAGCCTTTTTGTCTCCAGAGCCAGTGACTATGTACTTATCATCCACAGAGATGTCACAGCTAAGCACTGACGAAGATTCTTTGGACTAGAAGAAAAATAGAAATATATTACATAATTTTAAAAAAAGTCTGTTACCCTCATCTCAGCATCCCAGTTTGGGTAGAGACATAAGTGAAGATATCTGAGTCCACTTTTGAGACTCTGGATGTTCTAGTTATCTTTAAAACCATCATCATCCCCACCTGAAAAATACTGGCTCCATAGGGAGTTCTCCATGCATTAAGAAGGTTATCTTTCCCAGTACTGACAAACCATTTACCTAGAATATAAAACAGAAGGGCTATGAAAAACACGAAACACATGGGTTTTCAACTCACACCTATGAAATCTTTTATCTAATTACTGCTGTAAAAGTTCTCACTACTAATCACATACTTTTGCTTACAATCAGTGTGGACACTGATGCTTTTGTAGTGTGTTAACATGTTAGGAAATCCCTAGATTCTATAAATTGAAATGTTCTTTTACACACAAATCAACCATCACAGCAGCTTTTAGATAAACAGATGGTTGTTTGTTGGTAAGTACCTTTGAACTCATAAAGCAGAGATATTTACTCATAACCTAAGAAACTGAGATACACTCCCACTAGGGAGAGTGGCCTGGCCACAAGTGCACCTTGAGGTGCACAGCACTGACTCCTCCCCAGTGGTTTGTAGTTATGATACCGCTCTGTGCTCTGTTAATTTTTAGCCTGTCTGTGCTGAGGAACATAAAGGCTTCACTTACATTTTTACTTTGGAGATGCTAATTAACTTGTAGTACGCATACTGGAACAGGCTGCCCAGAGAGGTGGTGGATGCTCCATTCCTGGCGATATTCAAAGGCAGGCTGGATGTGGTTCTGAGCAATCTGATCTAGTTGAAGATGTCCCTGCTCATTCCAGGGGGTTTGGGCTAGAATATCTTTGAAGGTCCCTTCCAACCCAAACTATTCTATGATTACCGAATGAGCTATGACTACGTATTAGCTAATCAGCAAAACATGAACTAGACCCCTGACTGCCAGTTTTGTGTTCAGTGCAACTTACCACAGTAAGCGAACTTGAGTGACAATACACAACTCTCATGAAGGTGCAGTTGATATTTGTCTGGTTTATTTACATGTAGCACTTCCACATTGCTGCTCTCCATTCCCACAGCTAGCCATTCACCAGTAGGACAATAACCAAGGGAAAATATCTGAAAATTAAATGACACACTTATTTTTTTTCCTACAAATACTCTTTTTTTTTTCTACAGTGATTAAATTGACTGGGAGAGGGAGAGAAAGAGAGAAGAGCCAAATAAATTCACACTGTTCAATAGCAAAACTGCTGTTCAAAATTCAAGTGACTATAAGTAATTTAACTTAGAATAATAGGGAAAGTGAGTAGTGTCAGGCTATCATTTTGTTCTGGAAGCTCAGGATATGAAACCTCCAAAATATTGTGCTGCAAGCAGCCAAAGGGAAGAGCAGGAACAATATGCCAGCTGCACTGGGCTCAATCTCAGCTTTCATCCTAAATGTTTCCCTCCCACATTCCCCTCTTGCTTCCCCACACTGTAAGAAAATCCAGGTATACCTGTGATGTGAAGTCATGCTGCTGTAGCTGTCTTCCTTCTCTCAAGTCCCAGGATCTGACAGTGTTATCCAAACCTCCCGTCCAGAGCTTGGTACCATCATTAGAAATGTCAATACAGCTGGCTCCATCTGTGTGGCCCTGGAATTGCCTGATAAAACAAACCAGATTGAATAATGATTTCCTGCCAGAGCTCAAGGTAAACACTGTTGTGCTGTTAGTTTTGGACACTCTGTGTCTGCTGATGGGTAAAAATCAACCCCTCCCTCCTTTTTACCACGCATGAAATACAACAGTATTACAAAAATATTTTCCAGGTGCTAGGATAAATTAATTGCATGATGGTTAGCTGAACAAAAGCAAGTACTTTCGATTGGGTTTTGAAAGAAAAAAAAAAAAAAACAAAACCTGGGAGAACAGTAAAGTACAGTAACTATACCTAAAAGCAATTAGGACAACTCAGATTAAAACAAGTGCTGAAAGAACAAAACTCCCCCAGTTTCAGAACACAGCTTCTGTATTTTTCCTTGGCTGCAAGTCAAGATGATAAATAAAAAGCAGACATATTAATAGAAAGGGATTCAGATAGAGATCCAGATAGTTAATCACAAGCATTGCCGAGTCAGCAAAGTTGCATACTCTGTGGCAGGAGATCATAAAAATCTAAATGGTGTACTTTGTTCTAAAACCTTCTCATCAGTGATTCTTCCTTTTCAGCAATGAGAAGGTCATCTCAAGTCTTCCTTAATCCTTCGTCAAAAGCCTTCCGAGGCTCCTGCATTTTTCATTAGCAATTCGCATTAGGAAAAGTCCTGTGACTCAATGTGAAAGGTGGAGGGCGTGGGGAAAAAGACAACTAGCTTGGGAATGAAGTGTATGAATCACCACAGAAAGGTCACGCCACACATTTTGTTTTGCAGCTCTGGTCTCAAAATACCACATGTTATCAATTAGCAAGATCAGCCAGCAAGCAGTGGAACACCTACAGCAAGCATTTAAAAGGCAAGACAGGCACAAGACAGAGTGAGTGCACCTTTACAGAGACCAAGCACACAAAGGGCAAACTGAAGACTGTATACAGCTAATATCTTCTTTGTTCAACAGAAAGTAAAATTTGCATGTACATTACTACAACTCTGAATATAAATTTAGGCTAATTATTGAAAAACAGGGAGTATAACTGAAACAGAGCAGACGAAGCAAATTCTTCACTGTTTCCATTTGGAACTTTTAAATTATCATGACCTTTCCCAATTCAGGCTCTCTCTTCTCGTATGTGGTGGTTCAAGCCCAGACAGTAACTCAGAACCATGTAGCTGCTGACTCACTTTGTCGTCCCCCCCCAACTCCTGGAGGCATGGGGAGGAGAATCAAACTAATGTAACTCCCACGGGTTGAGATAAGAACAGTCCAGTAACTAAGGTATAACATGAACCACTGCTGCTGCCACCAATAATAATAATGATAAGGGAAATAACAAGGGAAGAGAATACAACCACTCATGACCTGATACCCAGCCCGATCGGAGCAGCAATCTAGCCCTTCCGGGTAACTGCCCCCAGTATTCCGGGCATGACATGTTGTGGTATGGAATACCTTTTGGCTAGTTTGGGTCAGGTGTCCTGTCTCTGTTTCCTCCAGGCTTCCCCTCCTCCCTGGCAGAGCATGATACTCAGAAAGTCCTTGGTCAAAGTAAACACTGCTGAGCAGCAACTAAAACCATCGGTGTTATCAGCACTGTTCCCAGGCTGAAAGTCAAAAACACAGCACTGCACCAGCTACTAAAAAAGGAGAAAAATGTCTGCTACTGCTGAACTCAGGACATTATCCACCCCTTATTCCACACCAGGCACATCATGTTCGGATCCACATTTTCAATATACCATCACTCTTATCTCGTATGTATACATATATATACATCCACAGAGAGAGAGAGAGAAAGAGAGATCATTCCTTAGTGCATGGACCAATCCCTATAAAGCTGCTGAGTCCATTCGGTCCATGATGTTGGACTCCATCTCTTGTAACAGTCTTTCAGAGCAGGAGAGGCTGTGTGCAGTGTTGGATCGCTGCCTGCTGACGATACCGCAGAACTCATCTGGTTTCATCAAAGTCCATTCTTTGTTGGGATGACGGTTGGAGGGAAGTCATGAGCTGTCGCTGGTGACCTGAAGATATCTGGTTGGTGGGCTACAGAAGTGCTACACAGCAGGCAACAGCACACAATTGAGTTCATTGGCTGTTTTCCCCTAAAATCAAATCCCCTTGAGGTACACATCGGCCTTTCTCATCTTCCCGCATTGATCACCAAGTATATTCGGGTCACTGAGCAAAACCAGTCCCACGAGTGAGTTTGCCTTTACCTGAAGCAGCAATAACCCAGACTGTTTTCCCCAGCAAATTCTTTATGTGCACCACAGGAACTTTGTCCCCTTTTACAGTATGTAAAAGTTCTGACAGGGCTGGGCCAGCCCTGTTGGCAGATCCTCTGGTGTTGACCAACCAGGTGGCCTTTGGTAAGTGTGTATCCCAATGCTTGAAATTTCCCCCACCCATTGCTCTCAGTGTGGTTTTTAACAGCCCATTGTACCTTTCGATTTTCCCAGAGGCTGGGGCATGGTAGGGGACGTGATATACCCACTCAATGCCATGCTCTTTGGCCCAAGTATCCATAAGGTTGTTCCGGAAATGAGTCCCATTGTCTGATTCAATTCTCTCTGGAGTGCTGTGTCGCCACAAAATCTGGTTCTCAAGGCCCAGGATAGCGTTCCAGGCAGTGGTGTAGGGCACAGTGTATGTTTCCAGCCATCCGGTGGTTGCCGCACTCATGGTAAGCACATGGCACTTACCTTGGAGGTTGGTGGGAGTGTGATACAGTCAATCTGCCAGGCCTCCCCAATATCTGTACTTCAGCCATCATCCTCCATACTGAAGACGCTTTAACCATTTAGCTTGCTTAACTGCAGCACATTATCACACTAGTGAATAACCTGGACAATAGTGCCCATTGTTAAGTCCATCCCTCAATCAGGGGCCCATCTGTATGTTGCATCTCTGCCCTGATGGCCTGAAGTGTCATGGGCCCACTGGGCCTAAAATAATCCACCCTTATGTTGCCAATCTAAGTCCATCTGAGCCACTTCAATCTTAGCAGCTTTATCCACTTGTTGGTTGTTCTGGTGTTCCTCAGTGCCCCAACTCTCGGGTACATGAGCATCCACATGGCGTATCGTCACCACCAGGCTATGCAACCGGGCAGCAGTATCTCGCCACAGGGCAGCAGCCCAGATGGGTTTACCTCTGTGTTGCCAGTTGGTCTGCTTCCATTGCTGCAACCACCCCCACAGGGCATTCGACACCATCCATGAGTCAGTATAGAGACAAAGTACTGGCCACTTTTCTTGTTCAGCAATGTCCAAGGCCAGCTGGATGGCTTTCATCTCAGCAAACTGACTCGATTAACATCGTGTTGACAGGGATTAGTCTTTATCACAGGACCTGGAGTAAAATCAGCTCTTCCACTCCATCTGGGAACCTGTTCACCAGAGACTGAAGCCGCAGCTTTCATGGGATGATCAGACTTGACCTTTGCTCTCTTCAATTCACGTACCTGTTCCTCCAGAGCTGAGGTAGGTTTTCCATCCCACTTTCTCATGTCTTCTCCATGATCACGCAGGTAAAACCATAGGGTGGCCTGTGGCGTATACCTTCTATATCTTCTCTTTCAAGAAGTAGGACAATTTTTGTTAATAGCTGAGACGTGTGTTGGTACATGTAAGGAGCTGGATAGATCAGATAGATCATCTCTCGATTATCTGAACTCCTGGGACAGTTTTTCCACAGCTGAAATAATGGAAGGGGTGAGATTGTCTTCGAACTCTCGGAGTTTATGAATCATTTCATCCACTGTTAATGGTACTATGTCATTCCAGGTTACTGTTGTCAGCGAATGGGCATATGATGATGGTGCATTCTGTGTAAATTTCCACCCCATGTGTCGTGCACATTTGAATTCATCTGGATCTATGTGTGCATCCCTGGCATTCGTCTTGATGTGACAGATCATCTCTATAATGACTGATTCCCTCAGAGACTGGATACCTTTTTCTAGAGAAGTCCACTTGACCAAACAATTCATAACATCATCCTTGTATGGAAACCTTTCTTTCGCAGCTGCCAAGAGCCGCCTCCAAAGGCTGAGGGTCTGTTTCTCTCCTGCAATTGCTTTGTCAATTCCCCCTCCCCTAGCAACTGATCCCAGCGGCTGGGCTTCCCTGCCTTCATGAACTGGAAGTTCGTGACCATCAGCCCCCCTGTCCCAGCATCGGAGCAACCAGGTAATGATATGCTCCCTTGGTTGATGGGTAAATTCTTTTTGCACATTCCATAGTTTGGTTGAGGTCTGAGGTCGAGAAGTCACCTCCTTCTTCTTCTTCTGATTCATGTGATGATGACTCCTGACCAGATGCTGTCCAGGGTAGTAAGTGAATTGCCACTGCTGCTTCATCTTGTTCCTTCATCTTGTATTTTTTTTGCTATTCCCCTTGTGTACAGGGGCAACCGATATCAGTACAAATTGGTCCTCTGGTTTAGCTGCAGTGATTATGACTGTGGTTGGAGTGGCTGAAGTATCTGCTGCTGGGGTTTGGATAGCTGCTGTACTTGTCGCTGGGGTTGGCGTAGCTGCTGTGTTTGGAGCTGGAGCAGCTGCGTTATCTGTTGCAGTCAAAGTTTGAGTAGCTGCTGTACTTTTGCTGGGGCTGGTGTAGCTGCTGTGCTTGGAGCTGGAGTACCTGCATTGTCTCTTGCTTTGCCCTCAGATGCAAGGACATTTTTTCCCTTTGAAGGTGCTGGATAGTGTTGAAAGGGCCCTGTAAGCACAGGCCAAGCCCCAGTACGTTACCATGATTTGTCCGTCTCTGGTATGATCAGGATGACAACACACCTCATTTAAGTGTTTTACTAATTTTTCTGGATTTTGCACTTGTTCAGTGGTGAAGTTCCAAAGCCCTGGAGGGGCCCACTGGCCTAGAAACTTCCCATACTGTCCCACACACCCTGCCATTCATGACTGTCCAGCCTCGGGGAAAATCTCTTGGTTCTCCTATATTGTCATCTAACCCCAGACAAGGCCCAATCCCGACTCTGCTTAATTCTTGAGATCAGATGAAATGGTTGTGCGTAAAACACACTCTGTATGCATGCCAACATGGTGATCTCCATCAGAACCAGCAGGCAGGTCTCCTTCATGGGCTGATCACACAAGGAGTAGAAAAAAGATGTGTAATTGCTAAGCACTTCTATTATATACCTCCCAAAGTACAGAGGTGGTGACCTCACTGGGAGCAAGCCAGATCAGTTTCATGATCAATGATCCTATTGCATTTTAAGTCATTACCATAAAGTACAGGGAAACAAGAACCTTAGCCCAAGGCTTCCAGCCGATAGACACACAGCAAATACCGGCTGTAAGTAAGGTACGACATGCTGAAACTGTGAGATCAAGAGCAACAACTTTGAGAGCCAATAAATCAGCATTGTGACTAGTGACTATTAATCCAAAAGAATGAATGGCTATCAAACACGATTAGACACACTCAGGTTAGATCTACTATCTCAACACTTCGTGCCCCACGTTGGGTGCCACAAAGAAGTGTCATGGTTTAAGCCCAGCCAGTAACTCAGAACCATGTAGCCGCTCACTCACTTCCCCTCTTTCCTCTCCCTTGCTCCCAGAGGGATGGGGAGGAGAATCGAAAGAGTGTCATTCCCACGGGTTAAGATAAGAACAGTCCAGTGACTAAGGTATAACACAAACCCACTACTGCTACCACCAACAATAATAATGATGAGGAAATTAACAAGGGAAGAGAATACAACCACTCACCACCCGCTGACCAATTCCCAGCTCGACCTGAGCAGTGATCTAGCCCTTCCGGGTAACTGCCCCCAATATATACCGGGCATGACGTGCTGTGGTATGGAATACCTCTTTGGCTAGTTTGGGTCAGGTGTCCTGTCTCTGTTTCCTCCTGGCTTCCCCTCCTCCCTGGCAGAGCATGAGACTCAGAAAGTCCTTGGTCAAAGTAAATGTTACTGAGCAGCAACTAAAACCATCGGTGTTATCAGCACTGTTCCCAGGCTGAAAGTCAAAACCACAGCACTGTATCAGCTACTAAGAAGGAGAATAATGACTGCTACTGCTGAACCCAGGACATCATAATAGTGTATAACACTACTACTTTGGTAAGCATAAACCAAAATTTTTCTTGTCATGAACTACACAGCTAGTTGCTCAAAGCCATTTCACATACAACTATCTTTCCTTTCTCTGTCAGAGCACTAATACTGGATACTGACCTGCCAGAAATGTTAATCTTCTACTAATATATTTATTAGTCAAAGGTCTAACAAAAGATTTCAAAAATAACTTACGTGGCAATCCATTTGTTCTCTGTGCAACCCACTCTAAAACTTTTAGAGCTAAAATTCCCCCAAAAAGCTCAAATAGCTTTTTTCATGAGTGACCTAATATCATTTCTTTATGCTTTCCTGTTTGAACTGCTTTTTTAAGTTTCATTTTAATACTTACGAATTTATGAATATGAACTGAAAATTTTCTTTATTACTTAAAGCTTAAGACAAAGGAACATAGCTCAAAGAGTTCCCTAAGTTATGTTCAGTCTACACCAACCACAAACTAGCAAAACTGCTGACTGCAGAAACCTGCAGAGAAATCCCAACTAACCAAAACCAACAAACTTTCAGCATGCTATGGTTCAAACCTTTAGGCAGGCCCTGAAGCGCATCTTCCAAGACTAGGCTGACACTACCAAAACCAGTTTCTGCTCAACTCAAGTAGCAAACCAGATTCTTTGTATAAGAAATACTATTTAGTTTGCTGTCATGAACCATTATTCAAAAAGATAAATATTTATGCAGCTGTCCAAAGAGTAACTTCCATCAAAGTTTTCTGTAAACAAGTAATGACTCACCTGACCAATGTCTGATTGTGCAGATCCCACACTGCGATGTTCCCATCACTGCAGCACGAAAAGCACACCTTGGAATCAGGGCTGATAGCCAGAGCATAGCAGGCAGGGGCTGAGGATGTCAGCTCTGCTTTTATACGAGGAGTTGGTGCTGCCAGGTCCCATATGGATAATGTGCTGGCTTCTCCACCAACTATTAGGGTGCATCCATCAGGCAGCAATTTACAAGAGCGGATGTAGTTATCTCTGTTCTGTACAACACAAATCACCTCAGTCATGTTAATACATGCCTTGCCAATAATGACCACTAATACAATTCCGACTGCATCCAAGTTTTAAACAGTATGCAATTTTTTCCATTACCAGAGTACTGAAGAGGAACCAGGAGATTCTAAAAGGCTTCAGACACCTATTTCTCATCACTAACCAGAGACTGCAGCTGCAGAAAACAAACTGCAGACTTCTGCTGTCACAGTCTACTCTGTTTTAAACATGATGAATGATGAGTCTGCAGGCTCATTACACAAAAACAGAGCCAAAGTAAGCTTGCGTTTCTGCAAGTGCATTCCACCAGTGAAGGTCACCAACAACAGAAATACTAAAGCAAATGACCTTTCATTTGGTATTTATGCAACTCTATGCGAAAGTGTGCTTCAAGTCTCATGCCCTTCAGGTTTTGGAGTTCCTTTCAAATACTATTTTGCATTCACCACTGTAAAGTTAAAATATTAAGTAATCCCATAGTGTTCCTGAACTTATGTTGGTCCTTGTTCAGCATGACTCTTATCATACTTGTATCAGTAGTTCCACATTAGCAATACTATTGCTGACTGAGAGGTACTACACGGGTTTTAGAACTGGAAAACATTTCAACCTTCACTTATTACAAGCTTGACTTCTTAAGTATACTGGATACCCACTTCTCCGTAACAGTTGCTGAATTAACCAACACTTCTTTAGGAAATGGAGGGTTAAGATCTGTAACTCAAAACATATAAAAAAACCACAGCAAGAAGTAGTCAAGAGCATTTCTACTACTATTCTCTTTCTTATTAACAAAAAAAGGGGCAGTAATTAGTGCAGTTGGCTTAGTCTTGTCAGTCATTACTGTCCCATAGCTAAAATGAAGGCAGCTAGGACTTTGTGTTCAGGTTCATACCTGCCGCAGAACAGGATACATATTCAACCATACTTTTACTACTACACAACTAACACAAAAGTAGCATTAAATAAAGGGTAAAGGCTAAAAACCTCAAATTAAACCAAAACAAAAAACATGCTACATTTAATTGGATCAACACTGAATCTAGAATTATTTTCGTTCAGAATATATATTACTGTGCTTTGTGATAGTAAGTCTTCTTAAAATTTCACAAATGTTTATGCTGCTTCTAATATGAGAAGCGTGTTTAATTGAGCCATCCTTTTTTTTTTATTTTATTAGCTTTTCTGCTACCTATACTGATGCACTCAGTCCCTTTCAGATCCTGCAGATGTAAGAACAACCAACCAAAATGTGTAACTTGTGGATCACCAACAAAAGCACAGAGACTTAAACTGACCTTCATACTTTGTCACATTATTTCATTATGTGGTTGCTGTCCTCTTACACAAAAACCGAGGTTGTCACTACTGGTGTGAGTAAAACACCTAGGAAAGTTCTGTGCAGCCCTGCATAAGCCTGGCTACATTCCTTTTAAACTCATGCACAAAAATCATCATCATGACTAGAAAGGAAAGAATTAAAAAAGTCAGCTACACTCTCTACTCAGAAGTCTTATCTGATCTGCTACTTGACCCCTAGTGATGGTATTTATCCCTAAACAAACCAGAACTCTTCTCCACAACTCCACCTGTTACATGTTAAAAAAAGACAGCTAAATACATAAATCAAGAAACAGAACTGCCTGCTATTTCCATGTAATATGAACAGAATCCAGACAAGGCCAGCTATTTCCTTATTGAGTCTCCAAGTAGAAGGTACCCTTATGTACAAGTTCCCGTTGACCTACCAGGCAGTCCAGCTGGGAGACAGGGCTCTTGTTGCCAGGTTGGCTGATGTCCCAGACTTTGACGCACCCTTTCCCACCTGTATATACGTGTCTCGTGGGGTTGCTGATGGTAACTGCACACACAACTTCCCCATGGTTCAGAGTGTTGATCTGACGGGCATGGCGAGGGATTCCTGGACCAATGAGGGCATCAGGAGGGAAAGGAACTGGCTGCATCTGACCATCTGCAGTAACATGAAAGGAGTAGGCTCTTTTGGGGAAGAGAGAGAAGACAAAACCAAAAATATAATAATCAGCCAGTTAGAGTGGCATAGTGCAAGAAAACCAGTATTATTTATTTGATCTGTCAATCTTTTTTTCATGATAATCAGAGCTACAGTGCCAAGTCATGCATGCACATGAAACCTCAGACGGAGACAAGGACAGGTATTTTCAGCTTGCCTCACCTGAAGCATTCGTGCAGTGGGGAAACACATTAAATTCTACTCTTAACTCTGTGCACTAAGGTCATGGCTGGTATTCGTCAGCTACCTGGATAATCAAAGGATCTTTCAAGCCCTGGTTTCTAGCCAGCAGTTCCAAGTCTCAGCCTGCAAGTCCTGCAGCAACAAACCCTCAGCAGGCACTATTGCTCTTCCAGTGTTCTTCCATGAGACCTGCACCTGTTGTCCTGCAGAACCATTAGCCAAAGATCAATTTTTGCTCCATTTCTGTACCTCATCTTAAACAGCAGCACTAGTTGTGCTCACATGCCTCTCTTTCCAGCTGGTAACTAGCGCTTTAAACAGAAAATAGAAATTTGCAGAGCGGCTGCACACACCTTTCATAACGAACTTGATACCATCTTCCCAGAATTATATTTTCTTGAGTTTTTCAGAAAAGCTGAAACGCTTGGTTTCCCAGGTATTTTTGGCACTTCTGTAACACCTTTTATTTGTATTCAGTGCATGATTTCAAGTATATGAAACTGAAGTTTGAGGAAGTAAATCCCAGCACTGAAGAAAAACTCTTCTTTAGGGAAAGTACACAAAATTATTTCTTCATGTTTATGGCAATGCTGAAAGTCAGCTATACTTACAGACCAGAGCACAAAAGGTTTCAAGTGCAGAGGGGGATTCTTCATTTGCTTTAAATAATAATGAAAATACTACTGCAAAAGGCTGATTTTTTGTTACACTGGTGATCTCTTTTCGATTCTTCCGTTTTAAACCCATCCATAGCAGATGTTTTCAATGCTGTCGTTACATTAACATCATTATTCAAGAGGCCAAAGTGGATAAAAAAATGTTGAGATCCTTCCCCCTTCTTCTCCCCATTAATAAGCTATGGTCTTTGTAGTGATGACTTCATTTCTCTAATACATTATTGTGTTCAAAGTTGTCCTTTCTTTTCCAAATGTACCTTCTTCCTCAGAAATCTTCAGTCACTGTAGCTCAATATTAGTATTGCATCCCTCTACCAAGGACCAAACAATAGACAATTCAATTTGATCTTCTGTTCTGAGCTCGTATTTTCGAAGTATTTTATTGCATGTTACCAAGTACTGCACAGTTTGAAAGGAAGAACAAGAAAGATGACTGGATCTGTAACAGACATCACAAAGCAACTGAACATGCCCAGGAACAGAGCAGAAGATAATTCCTTTGAAAAACAGTGAGAAGTAGAGAGCCAAAAGAACTCCACAGTTCCTTCAAACAGATGGTAACAGTGGAAGCAGGCCCATGCAATACCACAGTTTTCTCAAAAGGGTAAAAATTGGTTAACAAAATTAAACAAAAGAAGTTAATAAGCCGGCTCAAAGAATAAGCACAAATGGAGGACAAAAGAGTGCAAAAGGTGACAAATCATTTTGGTCACATAAATGTCAGGAATGGGAAATGCAAGATAAGAAAGGAAGCACAAAATTCACTCCGTTACATGTATACAAGATTCACAGCCTACCAAAAGTATTTCTTCCCACAGGACCCTTTATCTTTACTTGTATGAAGAATTACAGTAATGATAAGGGCTTAACTAGAAATTTGTTTAATTTCCATGAAAAGGAGTACAGACAGGACTGTCCCAAAGTAGTTACTCACTAAACAGATGATGAAAGAGAAAGCAGAAAAGGAGTGGCAACAAGACTAGTCAAGGCTCAAAAACTGCTCTGGTTCAGGTTCAGATTCAGAATCCAGCTAAAGTCATAGCACTTAAGATGTTGAAAAGATGGGCCTGATCCTGGGCTCCAGATCAAAGTCAGTTGCAGAGTATTTGTTAGCATTAAGAGTATACAGATCTGCACAACTCTGAAGTCTCAGTCTGTCCTGCTTTTATCATGGACTGTAAAAAATAGTCAAGCAGGTATTATGCCATTTCTTCCAGCATAAATAAAATTAATAATCTACTTTACCTGACTTTTTTTCTTTTAATGGAAGACTGCAATGTAAATGTTCTGTTCAATTCAAAACACCTAAATAACTGGTATTTTGAAATGCTTCTCTGCATACACAAGGCTTTTCAGTTATTGCTGAGATGGGGTGGGGGGAAGACAATAGGAATATTTTTCAAGTACTTCATGCATACTGTAGAATTATGATGGCTCTTCTGCTCTGAAACACCACAGACTTATGCAGTGTACTTTTATTCTGATCACACAGAATTTCAACAGTGTGCCCGTGTTTAAAGTGAAGTTATATATTTATCATAAGTGTAGTCGCTCTTTTTTATCATCCTGAGTAGGCATTTGCTTCCAAGACCAGCTGGTCAGGACTCAAGATGACCGAGTTTTAGGGCTTAACAAACAATCTATAATTTCTTACAAGCCAAGACAGCTTTTTCTGCAGTGCAAGTTATTGGCAATCCACTGTGTAAAGAAACGGCTACACACTGTCAAATCCTTCTGTCCCTCCCAAGAGAAGCACACAGAACAGCAAATGTTCCTATTTGCATGAAGATGTGAGTCATGCCATGTTAACATCACCACGGTCAGCATACTTCTGTGCACTAGTAACCTGTATCTAGTAGCTATTATGGTACAACCTTGCATTACACATACCTTTCACTTTGAAAAATCTTTCATCATTTGCCAGACTGACACTCCCTGGACAAGGAAAGCTTCTGTCTCCAGAATAACAAGTACTGGAAACAGCCTTCCATTAAAGCATTCCTCATTGTTCATTCACTGAACAAATGTGAAGGTCAGTAGAACTGAAATATTTTTTATTTTTGCTTTGAGCAATTCACTAACAGCATGCATTCTTTCAAAAAACACATACAAAAGTCAGCTTCTAACTAGATGTTTAAAGAGTTAACATTTACCACGTGGAACTTCCTTTTCCCACTAAAATGAGAAATGTGTATTTTCAGCTCTGTGTCTGTAACACCTCATGCTTCAATTAAAACCACATTTAAAAAAAATACTGGGAAATAAGTTTGTTCTCAATGCTACCATTAATTCACAATTTTAAACTGCAGGGAAGCAATAATGTGGATGTAAATCTTCTCAGTGAGCTTGAAAATCTGTGCTTAGTGCACAATTCAGCTATGAGAAGGTGTGGTTCACATCAAGGAGAAATCCATAAGAACATTAATTTAGCAGCTATAGAAGACTAAAAGATAATAAGTACCTTGCTATGCAAAGCAAAAAACATTTTTACAAAAACACACCAAGAACTTGCAATCCAGGGCACAGTTAATTCTATCAGAATGACAGAGTGCAAAACTCTGACACCACATGTCCATGTCCAAAACTAGACCTCACTTCCCACCCACAACCTAAGACAAAGATGATTATTGATTAGGTGATATCTCAAGACAATCTGGAAGGAAATCCCCCAAAAAAACCACCACCAACAAAAAACAAACAGAAGAGCTCCTAAAACGACAATAATCTACTACTGATGGAAATCAACCTCAAAACCAAGAACATGGAAATTTACTTGATGCACATTCATATAGACAAGTCCTTGTCTGCAAAATTAATTACTGAACTAGAAACAACTGAAGAGAGAAAACAACTAACATGAGATCATATCTGCATAGACCAAAATATCAAAGCAAAATGTAAAACCTGAAAAGCCTTATAGGAAATAACTAAAAAGAAAACAAAAAACCCAACACAAAACATCCACGCAAAACAAAAAAGACAAACAAAACAATTACACACACGCACGCACACACACACACACAAAACCGAAACCCAACTCACAACCTGCTACCACATGCAAAGACTAGCTCATTTGTATAATTAAGAAATTGCTGAATACACTTTGACTTTCTAGATTGCTATCCAATCTCCCAAGTACATTTATACCACTTCTAACAAATTACGACTCTGCAAAGAGCAAAACTGACAGATTAACATTCAGGAACATATACAGATGACAGAGAAGACTTGCATTTAATGAAGTTACAGAGGAAGGCAAGAAAAAGGCAAGCTTTCCAGATAACAGTCCATTGACAAAAGGCAGACAGACATGTAGGAGTGGGTACTTCAGCCAATTTTTCTAACAGATCTCAGAATACACAGGGGTTAAAAAAAAAGTGGGTGGTAATAAATGTCACCCCCTTGGAAATAGTTTAATTTTCTCTTGGAAGAAAAGCTGAGCGGAAAAAAAAAAACCACAAAAAAAACAAACCAAAGGAAAACAAAGAAAGAAAAGCCCTAAAATAACCACTGATAAAAACGGTGCAGCCGTAAGCATACACATATATCTTGGGATCCAAAGGTTCAATTTGAAAATTAACTGTACCACTTGCAAAACGAGACTCAATCCCCACATCTCATCACATCAGTGTGGCACCTTAACTACACTCTAGGAAAAGGCAAATGATGTAAATGAACCAGGAATACTCCACTAGTTTTCATAATTATATAACCCATGTACTTGGTATAGGAAACACAGTTTTTGCCTAGCATAAGTAAGAGATACTCATCAAAGATGCTGCAGGTAACAGCACCTAGCTAGCTATAGCAATCAACAGTAAAACAAGATTGTTCTAAAGCTGTCAATGGAAAGATAACAGATCAGTTTATGGAATGTTAGGCTTGCCTCGCAATAAAGATAAGAAAAGAAGTCGCTTTAAGATGAAATGACTGACTCAGCCAAAGTAACACAGTCACAAAAATATATTAGAGATCACATTAGCAAATCAAGTGGAAAGTAGAGAGTATGTAGCAACACTGTAGGTGATCTACAAAGCAGTGTAAATAAAGTGCTGAAAATACTAAAGATTAAAAACACCCCAACCAACCACCAAACAAATGAAAAACAACAAAAAAAAACCCCACAAATAAACCACGAGCACCCCTCCCCCACCTATAACAGCTATGCAATCACAGGATACAACGTATAGCATCATATATGCACTGCTTTTGTGCCCTGTGCAACAACTAGAACTCGGCCACAGGAAGTTTCTGACTGAACAAAAATAGGGTCTCATAGCTTATAACATAAAATATTGAGAAGCATTACTAATGGAATAAGTCACTGGAAGCTGATGAATATACGTGTTTAAAGGTAAAAACTTACAGCCACTGGACTACACAATCTCAAAAAATACTTTCTGTGAGTATGCCAAATTCTACTGAAGTCACCAAGAGCAACCCTGACCCTTAATAAAAGAACATTTTGAGAACAAAGCCTGTTCCTTACTGCACTAAATTTAAATATACCACCATGTGACACATTACACCAACTCACTGAACCCTCACTTCAGGAATCTTGTCAACATACAACCAACTTTTCTTTAAGTAAATCCTTAAAAAAGATTTGACAGGTTTTTCATGCTGCCAACAGATAGCTAAATCTGTTTTAGAAGCACAGTGGGTAACAACAATGAATGGCTTTCCTAATCTAAGTCTGCTCTTTTCCTACTGCTATGGAAAAAGAGTAGAAGAAAAAACACACTTTTTTTTTGCCTCTAACCTGGTGTACTTTTAAGGATGTCTGCATGACAATCATTACAATGTATCACTAACCATTAACAGGAGTTCAAAAGGAAGACAAAGGGTGTATAACTTTCACTACAGCGTGTCTTATAACTTAGTATTCTAAAAACAAGCTTCTGGCTTTTTCCTGAAGCTGCAAAAGGAAAAATTAAACCATGATAGACTGGCAAAGAAGACAGCATGTAACAGGAACACCCAGCACAGAAAGTGCAAAGTGTTAAGTGAATCTCAGAATTGTAAGTACCTAAACAGAAACTAACTACAACTTCCAGTTGAAAGAGAAGACAGGACTTAACGCCAAGCATGAAGGGATGAAGAACAGGTTGTACAGAGTGTTGAAAAACCTGTTGCAATTTTCTCTGCCCCACTCTTTCCAAGAAAACGAGTTAGTCAAATTTGCAGTCTATGCTCTGTTTGTACCTGTATAACTAGTTGTCCAGAAATACTTAAAAAATAATCACTTTTTTACCGTGACATGCTCATGAGCCTACCATGCATGTGTAAGCTAAATCTCAACAGTCTGCCAAAGCCAAATTACTGAAAAAAATGTTTTTTTGATGAATTCGTTTTATTGTAACATCAATGAGCCACAGCATAACACAAGTATTTTATCTAACCACCCTATCTTCAGTAATTGAAACTTTTCAATAAAAGAACCTATTGCAAAAGCTACCTTACATCTATAAACCACCTGCTACACAACTGCTTCATCATTCCTTTTGCTCTCCAGCTGCACACTCACAAAAACATTTAAAAGAGCTTTCTCTATTGTGCAAGGTGTGCATCAGCTGCTAAAGTAGCTGCTTCAGACACCCACTGTGACCAACAGTTGCAGACTCTCATGCCTGTGCCAGGCATGAGTCTGTGAGTTTGCAATACATATTCACACTCAACACAGTAAAAAGTTTAGTTTCAGTAAGTTTTATCTTACGTATTTTACCACTGGCTACCAGTTTGCAGTCCTCTTAACTTCTCCCAGAAAGGAGGAAATAAAAAAGCCTTAAAAGTATACCTTCAACAGCTTTTACTTCAAAATAACTATATGTACACCTGTTTCAGGATATGACAACTAACATTTGAGAATCTACATGCTGTACCTCTTGCCAGGAGAAATCTAAAACAATCTCCTGGGAACAACCAGACACTGCCTACTTTAAAATTCTTAATTCACTGACGCAAGATAACTTTATTCTCTCCAGATATTGCAGATGTTACCAAAATGGTAAAAGTTACTTACGGTTTTCCCCCAGGAATCCCTGCCAGATTTGGAGGAATTCCAGGTACTCTCATGTGAGGAGGAGGATCAAACCCAACCTGACAATGAAAAATGAATTAATCTCACACTTGTAATTTCTAATTCAACAAACCCCTTCTCTTCACTCCCAAGATACTTGCATTTAACCAAAACGCGTCTTTTATACCTAGTATTAGATAAGTGCACAGCCTTCATGGGCGGTGGAACAAGACATTTTCCCTAGGAATGCTTCTGCTAGACATATTTATAGGAGAACAGAAAACCAGTAATGTTTACCATGCATTCACACCACTGAACACAAATACCCCTGTGTGTAGCCACGCCAGTGCTCTTAAACTCTATGACAGCAGTGTGCGCCCATGCAGGCACAGCAAGGTGCTAGAAAACAGCATCAGACCCACGCTAGAACCTGCATGGCTCCACATTGCACTGTGTAGCCAACATCAGCTAGGAGCTCTCTCACGTATCTTAAATATACTACGCTCCCTTTACTTTTATATCCTGGATGAGTATATACATCAAATAATACAAACAGAAATTCGGGACTAAACAGACCTAGTTTTATTTTTCATCCAAGTTAAAATTCCTCTTGCTTTAGGGAGCACATATGCTATTTAGAATTTCCACATTTTCTGCCCTAATGAACCAAATACAAGCTTAAATCCAATCTTGCAAATTTACAAGTAGGTAAGGTTGTCTATGCAGAAAACTGCCACCAAGCTCGTGTTTACAGATTCAGGCCCCTAGGTTGTTCTGCTTGACAACATCTCTAACTGCTATGCTCCATTTACTTGCTACACCCACAACTATACTTAACACACCTTATCACAGAGCTCAAGACATGTACCAAGTAACTTCCACAAAAACCAATATACAAGGAAAGAGACAAAATTAAGATTCTTCTACATGCTTCAAGATTAATTTGCTATGTCTGCATGGAACACATATCTGGTTCAGCAAGAGACAAGACGATGTCCACAGCAGCAATGAAATACTTCATAGCTACCAAAACAACCTTCTCAAAGCACAAAATTTTTTTTTTGCCATTTATTCATTAGTCAAAGCACTGATGAAGGTGAAGAAAAAAAGGGAAATAAATACACTGAGATTCTTGGTTTTCAAGGTGCAAATTTGTTTACCTACACAATAAAATGAAACACAGTGAAGCTGTCAAGCCTCTGGCACTGTTATAACTTGGGAATTCGACAGTGCTAAATGAAGCATGTAGCTCTTCTCAGTGAACCACGGCGCACAGAACTGAGATTGCATGCAATATGTGGCCTACCATAGGAGATCTTCCATAGGCAACCACAGCAGCTGCAGCAGCAGCAGCACTCATCTGGGGTGACATATTGTGCAAACTGGCATAGGCTGCCCCTGGACTGGTTAACTCTCCATTCATGCCAGCATGAGGTACCATTCCAAATGGAGCAGGGTACGGTCCTGGTACTGCCAATGGTGTCCGCAAACCTGCAGCTATGGAATAATGAAACAGTTTTATTTATATATTCCCACACACATGGAAGAATCCAGTCCATTTTTTCCACATAATACCTAGCCTTCCCCTCTCACGTATGCACATTGTCAAATGCCATAATTTATCAGTACTGCCACCTCTTTTCACTCAGTGTAAATAGGATCTACTGAAGTCTGAACTTGCTGATTACTTCTAACAATCTCTTCTAGCATTACCTATTTCCATTGCTGTCATATTTCCCTGTTTACGTTAGTCTCTCCTTAGCCAAATTAAGCAGTAAAACTGACAGACATGGTTTACACAGCTCATGTCTGAAGCAACTGTGCTGTACCAGCCTGAATAGCAGAAGTAAACTTCCCCCTTGTACTTGTCAAGATTTACATTGCCTGAGTCTACTAATATTCACTGCAAAGAGCTGGAGAAGAGACTGCATTCAGAATGAGCACCAGAAACTTCTGAGAAGTCTTTTTATATTGCATTCCGTCTCTGGATTATTTGCAAAAAAGATAAAGACAAAAGTAAACAAAGAAGGATAAGACACAAAGATATTCAAACTCTTGATAATCCAAACATCTGCTTCTCATCAAGCCCTCTCTTGATATCAAGGACAAAGCAATATATTTAGTTAACATTTGCACAGAACTACGTACATAAAAAGATTAATTTTGGAACCATAAAAACACGTGAGGTAATGCATTACCAGCTTGGTTCACCAGAGGGTCCATTGTTGGAGGCTTGCCAAGGCCTGGACGAAGTCCTGGAGTTGCACTAGTGCCTGGGGTTGGCACATCACTTCGAGGAGTCGGTGTGCTGGATTTCAGAACAGGCGTGCTGGCTTTTTCATGCTGGTATCATTAAACAAATTAAATGAGTATTATTTTTAATCCAGGCCATATTATACAATTTATCACAACAGCAGCTGGGATGCTGCGCACCTACTATCTAGTCCCTCAGCCAATTTTCATAAATCCAGGCAATGCTGACAACATTAACTTGTGAGAGAGAAATGCTGACCTTCTGACTGCTGCCAAAATTAAGAAAAAAAAAATTATTTTTCCACTAGCATTAAAAAAAAATATGCCTGATCTATTTTTTTTCAGGAGAATATACTATGCATCACCAAATTATTTTAGCTTGGAAACACTAATCTCAATTAACACTAGACACAGCCAGTCTGAGTACAAAACCAAAATACCTCTACAGCTCATAGTACCAAAAAATTGTGACACAAAAGCTACAGAGAATCTCATCAAGCTACTAGTGATACTGCAGCAAATATTTTCAGAGAGTAACAGCTTACTTAGAAGAATTTAACAAAAGCCAGTACGACTTCTTGGTGTCTATGTTCAGACTATTTTAAACCATAGCTATTGCTCATGAAAAAATAAATGATGCTTAAACACTGCCTGGAAGAACAGTAGTCTATTTCAGCTTCAAACATTTAGAGCCATGTACTTTCTGCCACAAATAGTGGCAAAAGAATGGAGAGACAGACCTCACAAGAAAGAACAACATATCTGGGTAACAGACTGCTACCCACCAGGCTCATTTCTTTGGATTTGAGGGAAGTGGAACTTCCTGAAGAGGCTGTAGATGCTGGACTGCTAGAGGCATCTTTCTTCAGCAGCCGAGTTTTATCTATACCATTTTCACGTGGTGAATGAGTTGGGCTTGCCCTTGGGGAAGAAGGATCCTAAAACAATGGGAAGGGAAGAACAGCACAGAACCCTGTCACAGACTGGTACATAATCACTAAGGAGTCTATGGGAAAAAAGCTAGAAAAATTTTAGAAGCAAGTTCAAATTACAAGACATTTTGTTATATCTATAGAAAAAAAGCTGAAATCCCTTCATCGGTTTAGAGACATAGTTCATATTGTAAACAATCTGGTTTTATTTTACACTACATGTAATCATAAACTGTTTCCAAGCATAAAGCTTGCTATCTAAGCATATCTAAGTACAAACTAATGCAAGCACAAATGACACATGGTAAAAGCAAGAAAGACCAACAGTAATGCGGTAAATTTACACTGGTTTTATTATGTACATTCTCCACACACTGCTAGTGACAACAAAAATACCAATAATCTATTTAGGCCATACAAACCTTGCTCATCTCTATCTTCAGATGAAGAAATAAAGAAATGGTTTTTATGTCTTAATATCTGTCACTTCTTTCTAACTACCACTTCCAATTGCCTTGCTACTTGAACCTACAGGAACACCTGAAATCATCTCTCAGGTGATTATCCTTCTTCCAGAGGTACTCTCAGCATTTACTTTAATTTGAAAAAGCCAGCTCAGTTAAGCTACCATGCCATCAGTCTGCAGGTTCTCCATGCTCCTTTGGCTCAGGAGAATAGCAGCAGGAAGGAAGCAGTCCTCACAAGAGGAAACTAAGTATACCAGCTGATTACTGAGCAATTTCATCCTAAATAGGGCTTCTGAAAGGATTACTAAAAATCCCTTGTTTGATACCTATTTTGCTACTTGGCTGAAATCATTTGGGCACTTGGACCCACTGAAGACACTTCTCTGTCAGCTTCTCTCCCTGTGCTTTCTACAGAGAACATCGCTACCATATTCAGGCTTCCTAAATCTCTTTGTTGCATGAAATAAAAGATTTTAACAAGATAAGGCACATCCCTTCACTCTGATGTGACTGAAAAGCCTCTGCCCTGAAGGAAAAAAAAAAAAAAAGTGATACAACCTCTGGAAAATACTGTGAACTGACTGACTTCATTCTGACTTCAGCTGACTTCCCTCCAAAAACCAAACATTTCTGAAAAATGTTGTCTTTAACATAGGACATTAAAATAATTATAACTTTTAAGGTACAGAAAGGTTTTTAATAATACTCCTACTACTAAATACAACATTAGATAATGTCTTCCTTTTTCATTTGAAGATAGTAGTTTGAAAAACAGAGCCCTTCACCTGCATCTCACCACAACTCTCTCCACAACAGAGCAGCTGTGAAGCATCAGAACGTAACTGCCAAGGGAACAGACCTGGACACAGCAGCAGAAGGAAAAGCTGAGAGGGCAACCAGATAAAGCTCTGAGGAAGACATAGTGATTAGTACTAGCAAAAAGGAGAAGTTGTGAGTATTTTAGAAGAAAAAGAATCCTCTGTGTGGATATGCTAGCATCTAAATGCACTTTTCCTTTAACCTTTGGGCAAACGTCAAGACTACAAAAATGAAAAAAGTTACCTCATTGGATACATCTACAACCAAGTTATCGTCACTCTTGTCCCCATCACTGTCCTATTAAAAATAAATAAATATAGTGTTCATTTAAATTAGTACATTAAAAGCCCAGAGAGAAAGACTATGTATCTACTCAGACATTTTGTTTTCCTAAACAAAAAGCAAACAGCCTTTCATTATCAGTAATAGGGAAAACAATGAAAACAGGAACACAACACCTTATTTCTGCTTCAGTAGTAAAACCCAAATAAGGCAGAACTAGTTGAAAGCTGATGGTCTCAGCATCAGTGCAAGATGGTCCAAAGCTCCTCCACATAACCATCATAAATTATCACTACTCCTAAAAGAGAAACTCATTCTGTTCATATGCTAATCTTATGTGTTAATCTTATGGAAATTACTACTTGTGCGTACCTAAAAAAACCCTCAACAGACCTCAGAAAACTGGAGCTTTTTGGCATGTGTTTGATGAGCGATCTTCCTCAAAGTGATAGGACAATTTTTCTCCTTTTCCAGAAAGGAAAGTTTTGAAATGAAAAATTCTGGGGAAAAAAAGCTTCCAAAATGCCAAGGCATTTCAACATTTCTAACAAAACCAAAATACTTTGACATTCCTGAACAGAAATGATTTATTATAGCTTGTCAAGCTGCATTTTGACTGTTTCACGTAAATCTGTTCACCTGAGCTGCTCTAGTGCCTCACAATAGCTGTTACTCAAGTATCTCCTGGTCCCTGTCTCCAATACAGGCAGCAATGTCTGTTCTATGATACACAGTGATTTTCACAGTCCACTGTGGTGGTTCAACCAGAAAGTGAGACTTAATTCACGAACAAATCAAGTGAATGACAAAACTTAAAATTTTCATGTGGACAAGCTGGACATTTCCAACAGAAATTGTCACAGTTAAAAGGTTTCTAGGCAAATAAATCAGACATACAAGATTGATCAAACTGTCCCGCATCTCCTGCTTTCAACACGCCTGGGCTATCCCACTTTAACAGTGGCAAAGTGAAACACCAGTTCTTTTTCCTCACTTCAGGCCATAAACATTTAAAACAAGATGCCACCACTATGAAAAAGAAAAAAAGAAACCCCACAAAACAAAAAACCAAACATAACCCCTGCAAAACAAACAAAAAGAAACCCAACACAAATAATATTCACAAAAAAAACCCAAACAAAACCAAACCCAAACAAACAGAAAACCAACCCCAAAAAGGTAGTGTCTTAACCCTTCCCTTCTGTTTTTGTAGATGAATATTGGTCCATGGAATACTGCAAACATATTAGTGACCCAATAGTGCCACTGAAGACAGAATGGTGGCTCTTTCTGCCACTAAGGAAGCTGTCCAAACAAAGGTTGCAAAAGAAGGAATAGAAAAATTTTACCCCTGATTAATCTGCTACCTCTTGAAAAGTATGAAACATCCAGAAAGCAATAATAGGTTAGAATACATCTGAGCATGTGGGACCACAGTGGGTGGGACACTTGTTCACCAGAAATACCACTCCTGAGGAGGGCAAAAATAGCTGCCGAGCAATGATTAAATGCACTTCACTGACTGTCATCTTGAGAAACTGAAATTTACTGGGACTATCAAAGGCATGTCCTATAGGTACTATGTGGTATCAAAAGATCTCCTCACTAACAAACCCACAAGTTGAAACTATGCAGGTCTTAACACAGAAATCAAAAGAAGAAAAAAAATAATAATTGTGGTTTTGCATCTTATTTTCATTAATGACCATTCCTGCAACTTGTTTGTCTCCTTCTCCCAAAAGTAGTACTTCCTTGTCCCTAAAAGGGTCTAATCTAAAATGAGCTGGAAATCAGCAGTTCTATTTGTAGAACTGGGGAACCTTTAAAAATAAAAGATCTTCTTCCGGATTACAATAAACCTGGAACCTTCAACAGCCCTTGTTTTGCTCAATTCTTTGATGCTGCTGTTACCTGTATAATCCATTTCAAGCAAAGAACAAACAGAACCACACATTTAAATGTGGATTAAAACAAACTGCTTCTACAGTGCAATAATATCCTTTCCATCTCTTCTTGGCAGAAATCCAAGAAAAACAAACATGGTAAGCTTTTTCTTCCTTTTTTTTTTTATCAAGCATAGTTTAATAATGCTTAGTGTTCAAACCTTTAAAACGAAAAATGCCCATAGAATATCAAAACCTCAGAGTTGAGGGAGTAACATGGGGAAGTGTGCCAAATTCCTCTGTAATCAAAACAAGATTAGAAAGTGGTGGAAATACAACTTGCAAAACTTTAACTGTACTACAACACCACAATGTGCATGCAGAAAGGGGAAAGTAGTCCTAACTACTGTCAGTAGCTCCAGGGATATCCAATAGCTACTCAGAGATATTCTGAGTTCAACTGGAGAGAAATTACCCTACCAAATACCGAGGAAATAAAGGGGCACCTTATTTTCTGTTGGGTTTCAGTAACCAGGAAGTAATTAGTGATTGGATTCATATTCAAGCCAATTTGCCACATTATCGCTATGTCAAAGAATAGCATCTTCTGATAGATTGAAGTCATGATTTTTCTGTACTTTCACACCAGTCTCTAAAGCCTGTTCAAGTATCATCCTGTGATTTGGCTCAGCACTTAGACTTGGAAGTTGAAAGCCTGTATGAACCTCTAGAGATTCACGTATGCCACACTGTTGTAGTGACATGTCTCTTGGAAACCAAGCAACAAGCAAGCTACTCAAAAATGCAGAACACAACCGTGAACGTTTATAGTTCAATCTGTTTTCTGCTGAAACTGCCGTATCAGCCAAAAGCAGACTTCAGTAAGATAGTACAGCCTCCTAACTGTAACGCAACAGGTAATAGCTCATATCAGAAAAATGTACCAAAACCCCATCAAATCAACAAAACCCTTCATTTCAAACAAATCTGCAAATTTTAGAGCAGTCCTGAAAGGATCTCTTGCTCCAGCTCTGAGAAATATCCCAGAAAACTTGTGAATCACAAACAGCTACTCCTGGCTTTTATTCCCTGTTGAGGAGTATTACTTGACAACAGCTCAAACTCTTCCCACAACATGAATAATGGCCTCTCTGACACATATATTCATGTACTACATCAGCCATAGGGAACACATTGCCTCATTCTTCTCAGCTCTTTTACTCCTCTTACAAGCACAGTATGTGCAAATAAATTAATTATTTCTTTTTTTTTCCTTTGATTTTTCAGATTTGCTTACATAGTGGCTGGAATCCTTATCATCCACCTTTCTCTTTTTGATGTCATTGGTATATTCAGGGCCATTCCTGCGTTTATCTGTGCTCCGCAGACTGTCCGGGACCAAAAGAGAATTACTCTGTAAAGACAAAAAAACAAGGTAAATCAAAAATTCCTTTAAAGGTTCCTTCACAAATGCTTAAAAACTGGATCTGATAGATACTTTAGAAATGTGATACCTACAAAGTCTTTCATTCCATTTAATTCAACTCAAAGTCCTCCAGGCAAACATGTACAGCTTCATGCATTCTAAGAAACTTGGCATTTCATTGTTCAATGTATCAAAAGTTTAATTCACTTGTCAGTCACTATTTAATTAATTAATTAAAGTGAATATATTCTTTGGGAGAAGCAGGCTTGCTGTTTATTCATGAGCAGGTAACAATCTTTTTTTCTTTTTTTTTTTTTTTTTATATTCACATCCCATTTAATGAAATAGACCTCCTAAATCTAATCTGATTGATTGCTCACTTTTAGATCATCATAAATAGATGATGATTTGGTACGTTTACATCTGCAGGCATGGGAAATTGCCTTTAACTCTTAAAATAAGTATTTACCAAATAAAGTGATGCAGTAATCATTCTTTAGCTGTGGTAAACTCCAATTGGATGCCTTCAATAAAGGTATGGCAAACAAGGATCAAATATTTTTACTTCCAGCGTAACATTCACTACTAGTGTGAAATTCAGGCTAAAGTGTTATTTAATCAGATTTGACCTGAAAAACTGAGACCAACACACACAAAAGACAAAAGCAAAGACTAATCTTTTTCTCAAACTACATGGACTGCTTTCATTCATGGTAAGGTATGCTAAGTACAAACTGTTGACCCAAAGAGAAAGGCATTTTAGACATTTTTTAGTCACATGACAATTTGACATGCCTGCGATTCCCATCTCCATCTCTGCTCCAGCTAAAGCATTAAAACGTGTTACAATGAGTTCTTTTAAGTGCAGGATTAGCATATGCAAGAGAGCAATTTGTTCAGTGATGTGTTAATGCTGTGAACAATACTGAATGAGTTGAGAAAAAAAAGATCTCCTTTCACAAAGACTTGGTAAGCCTAGTTCCTAAAAGCCAAGTACATGCTTACATAAATAAATATATGCTCACACACATATATAAGTAAATACTTATTTACATGCATACACATATCTCTCAAGAAAAACCATAACACATATTCAGTAAGTGTAAGCCCTCAAAGGAAATACTTAGATCTACCAAAGAGTTAGAGATACTTACTCTTAATATATCATAACCATACTAATACCCAGTGAACTGTGCACTGAATGGCTTTCCCTTTAAAACCTGAGGACAACTCAGTAGTTTTGCTCATTGTTTAGTCCCAAGAAGGAAAACAAAACAGGGTACATAAGGCAATCTGAATCCTCTTTTTCCTACTTTAGAAGCTGCACTTTAAAGCCAACTCTAAGCTCTTTTATTCATGACTATTCAAGCTAAACAAATGCCAAGGGGCTTACATAAAGCATACAGGAGAGTCTAACGAAATTCAGTATAAAGAAGCTCAAAATAATGTCTTTGCTGAAATGTTTTGCAGCTAAAAGGTGGGCTTGTTGGATCACTGAACTAATTGTCTTGACAAATATAGTCCAAATTTAACCCCTTATCTCCTCACAGATGCACACAAACTCAGGGATTCACTTGTTTGAAGAACATTAAAACACATCTTCAAAATATTAATATATTAATAATATTAATATTTAATACTGTGACATTTTTAATATATCATGTTTGTAGCAGTAGAATAATCTTTAGAAGCTGCCAATTCAAACTTTACCACAGATTTGAGTACTGTAAATGTCTTTTCTTGAAAAAGGGAGAAAAGTTTTTTACTTGATACTTCCCTTAACAAAAAATCATTTAAAAAAAAATATTTTACTGCCAAAGACCCTAGCATAAAACAAAGACAACAAATGTAGTAAAGGGACTGAACTCAGTTTCTCATTTTAAATTGTTAAAATTTATGTGTAACAGAAAGACAGCCAAGGGGAAACAGCTGGGAAAAATTTAGCAACCCTGCTATTTGAAGTTACCACACAACATCAAATATGTGTAACTGTAATTCCTGACCTTTTTCCTGGTTTAATGTAAAGTCTACCTAGACAGTGCTGACAACATTCTGTACAGTTTGTCTTGCAGAATTTAAACACTGTGAAACATACCTAGGAACTCTTAGGTACACCTAGTTCCCACTGTGTACTAAATTCCAAACCAAGATTATCCGATTTTTCTTCATGAAACTGGTGGCTTAGCTATCATATAAGCGTATAATTACAACAGTAATCTATAGTCCTTATAAGCCAGTTCTGCAAAACATCTCCCCTATGGTCTGCCTTTCTCTAATTTACCACTTTCATTTAAAGGCACTGTTCTCTGGAATCAGAGTAACAAATCCAGAAGCTGTTGTAGACCAGCTTACTTTACAATAGCTATACCATCAGTTGCAAATAAGATCATGCTGGTTCTCTGGCAAAATTTACCTGCAAACTCAATAATTAAGAAGTTACAGCTTTGTTTCCCTTAGGAGTATAAAGAAGTTCTAACAACTGTGACTAAAATCAGGTAAACTACAACTTTCAATGAAAAAAATAGCCTTTCCTCATCTCAACGCTGGTAAAATTTGTATTTGCTGTATGTTCACTATCAAGCACAGGGCCACCGAGGAGACAGTAGTAACAGCTCCACAATGATAGAGTTCTCCCTGTCTCCTCTATAGGAGGAAAAAAAAAATCTGCTAAGCTCTTCTACCAGGGCTACTAATATCTGACTTAATTTTCAAGTGGGTCAAGTATTTCTATTTTAGCAATTTTTTTTTTTTTACTAATACTACAGAAATTTTCAGTTGGGATTGATCTTCGATAATAAGCACTTTGTACAAAAAAATATAATTGATTTCCTAAAGAGAAACTGCATGGCATCAGTTTTAATTTGTATTAATTTCAACAGACTAGATACATAATTGGGGATAATCCTTACTTTCATAGAAGTTCAATTTATTAGGGATCATCAGTGCAACACCTGCAATCATTAATGTCAGTTCAGACAAAATGGTCAAAATCGATTTTATGAGTTTTCTTTTCCTTCCAATCATTCAAAATTTATCCACATGAGTTCCTTTTCTTCAAAAAGTCCCAGAAGAATTTAAAAAAAAAAAAAAAAAAAACACAAACCTGATGCAGCACTGCTTCCTGTCAATTACCGGACTACGTAAGGGCTTTATAACAGGCAACTTGCAATCCTAAACCATCTTTGCTGCCAGCATAACCCAAACACTGAAGCCAGCAGCAGCAAATGTGAAACGAAAACCTAATCACAAGGCACAGAGAAGGCAGGTTCCCTATTAGGAATACAAGGCACGTTATTCAAACACACTTCTTCAACTGCCGTGCCGCTCCTCACTGCAACTACTTCCAAACCACAGGTATGAATGCCAGAGGTACAGGCTCAGAGCCCACAGTATCTCATTTATCCTGAGTTATAATACAGCACAGACAACTCCCCAGAACATACAGAACTGACAACTAACTTTATGCTGATCATTACAGCAATTAAATAACAGTACTGACATGACATCACATCTGTGCTCATGGTTCAACTACACCTGGTCCCAATTAACAACTTCTCTAGTGCTGGGCTCCTTATCCCTCTCCCTCCCTTCTCTCCCAAAGACACAGACATGCACTTGCTCTATGCTTGGCCATTCACTGACTCCCTGTTAATCCAAACCAACTGCACCCATCTGCCATTACAGCCACTTACTACATCTAACTTGCGTCTGCCCTTACCATCAAGCAGGGCCCCTGAGTTTATTTAACCACTACAGAGGACCTAAGCACCACACACAAGTGCTATCTACAGACACCCATATGCAGGCAGGAACAAATGCAATCCCTTGCTGAGTAGGTAAACAGGGTCAAGTCTAACATCTACAACAAAAACATCAGTTGCTCAGCATTACCACTGCTCACTGTCAGTACTCATTAACAGGAATATACTTGACATTGGAAGAGGGACCAGTGTTTTCTCTACCGCCTCGCAAGACATAAGAAGATCACACTCAAAGTTATTCAAGTCAAGAATCATTAAGTTCCATTTGTTGAATATGCCTCCTGCAAGCACATGTCAGCAACCCAAAAGTTGACTTATAAAAAGTCAGCAGGTTTCGTTTTAAATTACCAGTGACAGAAAGCTATTGACTTGCCCTCTTTTTGTCCACCATTTAAAGTTATATTTAGACTACTTTGTATTAGGAGCAAGGAAATCTAAAGCCTAAATGGATCTGAATCACATTCCACACTGACGCAATAATCAGGAGACATCAACAGAGAATAAGGCTTCTGTTGATTTGTTTTTTCTAGTTAATGTTTGCCAGAATCAGGGTATCCATGAAAAGTTATACCAGACCACCCTAACCCTTTCATCCTTCATCATCGGCCTCATGTTGCTTTGTATCAGCTACAAACTAAACTGCACCACAGCATCCCATAGCTCTTCTGTATGGGCAACTTCTGCTGAAGCTGATTTGTGGTTTGCATCCATAAAGACTGAAAAAATTCAACTTCTTCTTAAGTTGACAAAGCTAACAAAGAAAATACTTAACTGATTAAGGAAATTAAAGTTTATCCATTACATGCTATATAACAGAAAATACTACCTTCCTCACAAAGGCAAAGAAGCATACACGTGCTACACTGAAAAGTACCCCACATTTTAATGTAGCGCCTTCTACTATTACCCAATCACCCGATTTAGAAGAATTAAAAACCAAAACAAGAACAGCTTGCATATAATATCAACCAAAAACTATCATTCAACTGTGCATGCCCCCTTAGTCAAAGACTAGAACAGGACAGAAGCTAAGGACATATTTACTGCTGTTAAAAAGGACCACTTGCTTTACAAAACAATACCAGTATTTATGCTTTAAAATGGAGGAAAAAAAACTTCTTGGAAAATTTGTGAGTACTTCCCAAGTACTAGAAAACAAGCTCAGTGTTTTTCATGAGGACAACCTCAGTGTAAATCCCAAGCACATAACGGAGTCAGAATGCACTGTCTACAAATTACTACTGACACAATAGAGGACTTCAGAACATTTGCACTTCTATGTCCTGTCCAAACTAGAATAGTGAGAAGATAAATAATAAATGAACACCCGAGTTTGAAAAATGTTGCCAGTATGTTCCCTAGAGCAAAAAAAATGTAGACATCAAAGATGTTTTGTACTGATGTCTCCCAAAACTTTTGTACTGATGTCTCCCAAAACTTCAGCTGCAAAACTTGCTTACTTTGTCTGGCTTCATTACCTGGAGCCAGGCTGTGTCACAATAGTAGGAATGCCTACATTCCCACAGTAACATCATCCAGTTTTGGATGGTTAGAGCTATATCAGCTAAACCCCACCTGCCATTTCCATATAGTCATATAATTTAATTTTGACCACATAATTTTAGCAGTTCATGTATGAGGTATATTATTACTATATACTATACTATTACTATAATATACTATTATTACTAACTTAAATATTTCACAAACATGTCTTTACGAAGAACTTTCCTTCATATTGCATCCCAAAAATTTAAGTAACACAACAAATAATAAAGTAGCTCTTGCCATTTAGATATAGCAAAAAGAGGTTAAATGGACACTGATCACAATCAAGAATAATGAAATCACTGGCTCTTTATATTCCTTTATAAATACATGAGTCTCATCGTATTACAAAGTCTTACTAAACACACAATAAATAAAAGCTTACGCTTATTTGCCTAAGGACATTAAAAAAAAAAATAAAACCAGATCTCATTTAAAAATGAATATACCTAAATAATACACCACAATATGCTTTAACTCAAAGTTATTTTAAAATCAACTTAAAACCAAATAAGCAAGTGCTTTACTGTAGTCTTTCCAAGTTGCACATTTAAAGTCAGCTTCTACTGATGATACTGGAAGGTCACACTAGATGCACAGTAATACCAAATCTCATGGCTGATTTAGGCAACCAACAGACAGCATGGGGTTTGGTGTCTTGGGATAACGAAAGCAAGCCTTTGTCAGGTTTTCTAGCAGCACAATTACACTTAAAACATTACTCTGAAAATCAAATTGATCTTATTTCGGTGACTCAAAAGTTATGAGCTAATCTGCCCAGTAAGAGTCTACTGCTCAGTTGGAACCACACATAATAATTACACAAACCTGCTGGTATGTCTTCAGGAAAACCCATCTTAAAATTATTTCCACAGTTACACTATCATTAATAACATTAAGTGAGCGGAAATGAATACATATTGCTTCCAGTAAGTAAATGTCAAGCCCTATTCTTAAAAAAAAAATATATATATAAAAAAATAAGGCAACAAAAAACAAGTGTCCACTACATAAAGATATGTCAAGTAATTTTTCCTAGTTGTTGTATTTTCTGATTGAGAAAAAAAAAACAAAACAAGAGCCCAAATTCACCTATGAATTCAACAAGCAGAATTAGCTTTGTTACTTGAAATGATGTGAAAGTTGCCATGCCTATCTCCAACAATTTGATATAGCAGTATCTCTCAAAACACAACAATATAAAATGTTGTTAACGATGTAGTTCTTTGGCTGTTCTTGGAATAAGACTGCCTTAGATTAATTCTACTACAGCTTATGCATAAAGGGGAAAAAGGTACTGCTATGGAAGTTATACTTGAAACACAAATTAAGCAATAAAAACATTAGTAAGGCTCAAACAGATTCAGTTAAAGAAAATACTAGGACCAAACACCGTCATGACACATGAATTTTAAATTTCTCACCTGTTCTGCGACTTTAATTCATGAAAATCCTACAGGAAAAGTCTTAACTCTAATAATGTTATACTATAATTTGCAGTTAACGTTCTGTTTGAGTTGCAGCTTCCCCCGCACTTCTAATAAACAAACTGAAGTTCAAGATTCCCCCAAATCATTCTGCTCAGAAACAAACCTGGTTCACACAGTCCTCCAAATAACTGACAGTGTTCTGCATTAACCAAGAGTATCTGAGCAGAAAACGCATACGTGGCATGAAACTGACTAAAAGGAAGATAAAACACACAAACAGTGCATGTTTTGATTATTAAATTTTGTAAAAGTGGAAACATTACCAGGAATGTTGGTACTTACTGTGCCCGGCTCTCTCTCTGTTCCCGCAGTAACCAAGAAATGCACAGACATGCCCGTTCAGACACAGAGGCAAGAACAGAAATAAAAAAGGGGGGAAAAATTAGAACACAAGCCGCAAACAGTTTTAAAATGGCTTTTATTTATGTAAGTCATTGCACATTCCTAATACAGTGATTTCCTGAAAATTACAGTGTTGTGTAAACATGATTTACAGTTTAACCATACACAAAGCCTAGTTTTATTTCATGACAGAATAAATTATTTTCTTTTCAAAAATTAGTCAAGTGCAATTTTGCCCAATACTTGAGTACTAGAATTTAAGCCTATGAAACTAAAGTAACAGATGCAATTATCTAAATTTCTTGTTTGAACACATTCACTTCAAAATTTTAACTTTTCATTCCCCCTACCTTCCCACCCACCCATTTAACAACATTACTTTCTTTAAAAAAATTACCCATTATGCAGTTTAACAGTTTTCCACAATATGGTGCAGGCCACTGCTATTACAACTAAGCATTTACCAGGATGTCAAAATGCCCTGCAAACTATAGAGCAGGTGACACCTAGTGATCCCCATTTAAAATAGTGAAAAATTCCAAGCTGAATTTTGCTTCAGTGGTATATATGCAGACATTTTTAAGTTTGCCAACAGTTTTTTCTCATTCTATATAACTTGGAATCTTTAGAGATGCACATAATTTGCAGCAATGCGCAAATGTGACAATGTCCTAATCAGGCCTGCCATGCCTCTCACCTCTGTGGTGGTCTGCATCGTGATGCTTCTTGTCATCTTTTATTGCCAAGTGAGACTGCCCACCCAAAGCACTAGAAAGGGCAAGAAGGCCAGCACTGCTTCCAAGTGGAGGGATTCCTGGAGGCTGAAGTCCTGACGGATGCGGTGTTAGAGGCACTGGAGGTCCATGGCCATGGGAGAGATGTTGAGCCTGCAACTGCTGCTGCTGTTCCCAGTGGTATCATCATCCCCAGATGAACAACGCATAGCACACAGAAGGGGAAGGAGAAGCAAGAAGTTTGGTTAATTACCAGGAATCAACAGTGGACTTTTATCAGTTGTTTGTTTGGTTTAAATTTAACCTATGCTTTCTGTCCCAGCTATACACATACTGCATTACACTCTGTGCTTGTGTCCCATGAACCAAAAAAGGCTCGCTGCATGGTTGTTCTGCAGCCCAAAGAATAGTTTCAACTACCTGTAGGTTGTTCCAGGCAGCTACTGCCTGTCACAGGATCATGGGTGACAAACAGCAGCAGCAGAAAGCCCAAATACCATTCCCTTTCTCCAGAAGGAGCGCAACTGCTCTGGGAAAAAAAGTAAGTTTCACTAGCAAGATTGATTCAAACTCACATCCCTCTCTTCCCCTAATCTGGAAAAAGTAAGTACATTTTTATTTTGAATTTTAAAAAACTAAAAGACAATGCTCAATTTCATATTTAGAGTATTAAATTTATGTTTTATTATAGCCAAACTTTTGGAAAAAAACGTAATTATTCATGAACTGACACGATGTTTATGAACCAACTGTAAGTTTAAAGTCCAGGTATTCCAGATAGCATCAATAACGTCATGGAACTCCCACCAAGAAACATGGTATTAATGAATTAAAAATACCTCCATCTGTTTCAAAAGCAGCTTGCAAGACTGGTATCGTAATGACTAGACATAAAACCCTTTAAGCAGTCTGGCAAAATAACCTTTAAGCAATTTTATTAGAAGCAGTCCTTACAATAGAATGCCTTCCCCACAGCTTAAATATCAATGCATTTTTTAGTTAAAGCTGTTATGGTTTTATTAATATTTTCTAAGTTCAGCTAATAATTAATTTGTCCAAAATGCTAAACACAGATTTATGCAGAAAATTATGCTTCAAAACAATCTTTAGCTTGGTCATAGCTCCACTTTACTACAGGTAAACAGATTTTCTGACCCTTTCCTCCTTCCTTGCACCTGGTCTTACAAACAGAAGACAGAACAAACCTCTCCACCTTGGCCATGTTCCACCATCCCTCTGACGAAGGTAGGTATCATGAAAAAAGCTAGAGTACCATTCAATTTATGGGATCAAAGAGAAGACAGATAAGGAAACGTCTGGACAGGATGAGCTCAGCTAGACATGAGTTTGACCTCGTGCATGCTAGTGGTGGTCCTGTAAGAGCAGGCAGAATTGTTACAGTACTGCTGACAGCTACTGAAATCAAACCTAAAGCCCACAATATTTCACAAGTTATTACAAAATAACTCAATCCAAAAAATATTTTACCTGCTTCCATAGGTCCCAAGCCTCTTCAAGACAAGCTGTCAACAAAACCTGCGAACATCTACTGGCATATGAGTGACTTAATTTATTACTGTTTATATAACTACTATGCCCTATACTTCTATTTCTTACAACCCCACCCCAGGACATGCCTTGAGCGGTTTATAAATTTATGTAGACACAAGTGACAGATATGAAGAACTGTGGACTGGACCTGGTAATCTTTCACTTTCTTACTATTCCAACTGTAACACTGCCATCATGTACTTATTTTTGATACACAATAGAAATAAGATTTACCACAATCCCTTTAGTCAATTCTACATGCTTAGAGGTTTACCCGATCTCTCACAACCTGCATCAGGATTTTCTTTTCATATGCTGCATAAAAAGCCTTGCTAGTCTGCACTGTAATGCATATATGTCTGATCGCTATACTCGCCAATTTTTAAGTATGCTTAAAAAGCAAGGTAAGAAAGAGGTAGTTCTTATTCTATTTTAATATGTTTTACAAACAACCTGAAAAGCACCATTTCAAATGAAGTATTAAGAATTATCTTTATTTGAAGTAGTTAAAGCAGTAGACCAGCTTCTACTAAATCAAGCAGCTACTACTATTTAAAGTTCATTTAACTGAAGTATCTGTAAAGAGCAGTGCGAAGTCTGACAGGACTGCAGGGCTTGGGGTTTTTTGTTTGTTCATTTGTTTGGGTTTTTTTTTTTGATCCAGCTTCTAAGGAAAAAGGCGACATCTCTCTTCTCACTTTATGAAGTATAGACTTCATGAGGATTATAGTAGTTTCCAGCATGTTTCCTCAAATCAGGAAATAACCTGATGTTTTGGCAGGCTCTCTGAGAGAGACAGTATTTCACTTACTCCCTTTCTCATTGACGGCCTTAAGCCAGGTCAGTCATCTGCACTTCGCTATGAGACAACATACATCAGCAGTACTGTATGGCATTCATAGCATTGGTCTTACTTGTCCCCAGCTGCACTATCACACTGGATTACCCTGCTGTGGCATTCACTTTTGGCTAAGAAGAAAATGTCATTTATCCCTTCCAAATTGGTTTTGCAGAGAAAAACCCTTCTCCCTTCTCCAACAGTGACCTCAAATTAACTTCTACAGGGCATGGGAAGGTCAAAATAGGGAAATAAAACTAAACTGTTTCCATTCTTGTCCATAGTCCTTCAGGGAGCCTCTGAAAATTTCCTTTATTTATGCCTCTTGCTTGGTTTAATTACCAAACAAGTTAATCAGCACAATTTCAGTCTTTAGAAAGCAAACTGTTAGGGACATATTACGTACAATTTCCTTGGTTTTGCTTTGTAGCTTACACACATGGTATTCTGAAGGACACGTAACTGAGGACCAAATGAATCCCTTATAAACAGGTTCTGAATCTGAAAGAACACGTTGAGAAGAGCTATGGCCTCTTTCTCCGATGGGACTATATACAAATGCTGGGAAACAATCCCCAGTGTAAGGTGTAGAACAGAGTATGAGAACTGCAAGTGGAAATGCATCACTTCGCATAACATTTTTGCAGCTTTACCAAAAGGTTACTGATGGTAGCAGAGGAAAATGGTACCCCAAAATGGTTAAATATCCAACTACAATAAACAGACTTAAGACTGAAAACCTGATCATGGTCTTTTAAGTTGAAGGTATATTGTGAATTAATGTTTGTTATATGAGGCTCACTGCTGTTTAAGACTGAAGAATATTGATTGATATATATTACCCATTCATAATAGGTGTAAAGTTCTCCATAATACATAAAGATGGTCTTTTCCAGACGTTCATGATCATTTTATTTAAAAAAACTTCAATTTTAAGAAGTATTCTTTTCCTAGAAGTGGAAAAAGAAATATGTGCTGCACACAAAGGAAGAGGGAGATAGGTAACAGCAGCATTGACTAGATGTATTTGGTAACTAGACATTTGCCATAGTAGATCCTAGAAACAATTATGCTATGCATATAATCACCTTCCTGTCACTTCAAAGACACTAATGCTTGCTCTGTCACCTTTTAAGAGCTCAGCAGCAGTGAGATATAAAACGGAATAAGTTGGCAGCAGTATCATGGTCTACTAGGCATGTTCATTAGCAGTTAATTAAAAACTAGACATCTGCCATAGGAAATGTGCTCAAAAAAAGGATGAGTAACAGATCTTACTACCAATTATTATCATTACTTGCAGAGCAATGGCTGTGTCCACTTTCAGAGGAAAGTGGGAAGGTAGAGAAAAGTGCAATGATGCATACATAAGTGACTGCACTGAGATAATTAGCTATAGCAGTGACTTTAAAAGCATCAGTAGGTCACCCACCATTCTGTTGCCAAACTAGAAGATCTTCATATTAGCAAAAGGACCAATGGAATGGCAAATTCAATTTACTGTACTTCCAGATGTAGGTTTTCTTGCCTCTGTTTTTTTTTCCCAGCATCCCTCTAATCAGGCCACAAAGGCTGCAAAATCAACATATGAAAAACAGAGCACTTGCTTTGCTGAGCGAGCATCGTCTAAGAATTTTTAAAGCAGTACAGTTTTTCACCTCAAGCATCCTAGGCAGTTTCCAGCTATAAAGAGCTCTTTAACAGGGACTTAAAATTTGTAATTAACTTTCAATCTCTGCCAGAAATCTCTGCCAGAGACAGAATAAATCTTTGTGAAACAGATTTCCTGTACATAAAACAAAGGCACACCTCCTTTAGGCTCCTTACCAAGAATGAGCATGAGCTCCTACAGTCCCAAATTCCCACCTTAAAGTAGCTCTGCTGAGGTCACAAATACCTATGGCTTACTTAAAAGTCTAGTTTTGAATTCCTAGTATTAAACAGATAGAATATTTTTCTGTTCTTCAACAGATGTGTGATGTGCTATTCAGTACGTGTTGAAAAGCGCCAAATTAAAAGTTCAGATATGACTACATGAACAGCAGAAAAAAGGTTATACCTGGTCCCAAAGCACAATAGATGACTTCTCTCATGCCTTTTTAAACAAATGCCTGAGAGCAGAAAAAGTTCTCAGAAACCTGTTCAGCACTAGCACCAGTATTACTGTCAAGAGATTCCCCCAAGCTCCATCGAGGTGTTGTGAAAGAAAATCTGGCAAGCACAAGTCATTTAGAGACCTGAAACTTGAAGGGCATGATTTCATGTTAACTTCTGTAAAACTAAAAGATATAATTTTGTTAAACTCAAGCATGCAGACAGTCATGAGAGAATTACTGTGTTCAATTTCACTGTCATATCCTCTCTTTCCCAAAGGGAAATCAGGGTTTTTTATTTTCTTACTTCATTAGCAGAAGGAAGGAAGAGCCTGCATCAAGTATCTATGATCAATGAACATGTAAGGGCTAGTGTCTGAGCAGATACCACCTAGCCAGCCAAGCAATAACCTTCTCCCTCACTGTTTAGAAATACTTACAGAACCAACATTGCAAATGTAACCTTCAAAAAAAAAAAGGAAAACAAGATTATACTCCTGTCGGATCCAGTCTTCTTTCTCATTCTAAAATAACCCAAAACCCTGCACACACCACCCACACTGCTAACTTGCAAAACTAGCAGGAGTAAACTTATTTAGACAGTTTAAGCCATTAATTAAAACTCATATTTAAGTTTCTGTAGGTATTTTCAAGAGTATTTCAGTTAGCCAGAAGAACTCACCACA